GAGAGAGAGAGAGAGAGAGAGAGAGAAAGAGAGAGAGAGAGAAGAAAAAAATACAATGTTGTTATTAGACAAACAACTGTTGGTACCTTGACTACAAGGCACATTAATGCTTCCCGGGAAGCTGAGAATGTTTCGGAGTGCTCTATGGTCTGCTGGGGTAATAATATAGTGTAAAGCGCATAGAGCCTGCTGTTGAGTGGGGATATGCGCTATACAAATGCTATCTATTATTATTATTATTTTTAATATGTGTTTACATTGTAGAGGTCGGTTCTTGTAAATCTACCTCATCTGACCTCAAGTCACAGTGTATATTAAATGTGTGTGTGTGTGTGTGTGTGTGTGTGTGTGTGTGTGTGTGTGTGTGTGTGTGTGTGTGTGTGTGTAGATGTAGATATGTATACGACGGGGAGGGGTGGAGATAGACAATGTTTTTAGCAACAGAACATAGTAATGACATGATTGCCGGAGTAAATGCACGTTCTTTTTTTTAACCAATAGTTCCGTCAAAGACATCCATGGGCACTTTTATGACCTAATTGTGTTGCAAGTCCCGTAAAACTCTTACTGACGGGGAAAAAAGAGAAATCCTTAAACTCAAGGGGAAATGTCTTTGTTTTTTCACCCCCGTGTATTTTATTTTCTTTTTCAGATGTCGAGCGGATTGAAACCAAAGCAGATTCTCTACGTAAACGAAAACTTCAAAATTCGCACGCCTCGTTTCGACTTGGGCTGAGATCATTTGAAGGACTTCATCACTTGTGCAAGCCTACCATCTGAATATGGACCTGATTTCAATTGAGTCTGTTGTGTAAATAATCGAAAACAATTCACTGACTCTAAAGCAAAAACCATGGCGGATTATGTACTGACTACGTCCCTACCTCAGACTGTGACAACCATCTTGTCCTTGGCAACAAACGTGAGTCCAGCTCTGGACAACAGCTCGCAGGGTAGCCCAGAAGGCGATGAGTGTGAGAATGTGCAGTATATTCCTGGTATAGTTAGTAACGAGACGAGACAAGGTCTAGAGAACTTCGCTCGAGGCTACGGCAAAGTTCATGGCTATGTCGCCATCGCAGTCTGCCTTTTCGGTGTTCTCTCCAACATCGCAAACATCATCGTGTTGACAAGGAAAAATATGGCTTCCAGCACCAACACGCTTCTACTGTGGCTTGCTGTGTCAGATCTTCTGACAATGCTCAGTTACCTCCCGTTTGCGATACACTTTTACGTCATGGTTCCACAAGACCCAAACAGGCCTCCGTTCAGCTCCGACGAGTTCTCCTGGATTTGTTTTCTCCTGTTCCACGCTAGCTTCAGCATCGTGTGTCATTCTATAGCCATATGGCTCACTATCGCCTTAGCTATTTTCCGCTATATCTACATTTGTAAGCCTACGCGTGGCTCCTACTATTGCAGCCAGCAGAGAGCGAGGTATGTCGTGATTCTCGTCATTGTCCTCACCATCATCATTTGTATCCCCAACTACGCCGTCAACACGTACATGCACCACGAGGTCCCAGCCAATCCAGACGTCGGCGACAGCAACACGACGACTGCAAGGGCAGTCACCGACTCCTCTCTCTTCAGCGACAACGGCACTAAAGTTTCGGGAGGCGGGGGTGGTGCAGCCCTATCCTTCTACTTCCCAATCTTGCGCCAGTCCACCACTGTGGACAAATTCATTATACAGATCAACTTCTGGGTCCAGGCCATTCTGATCAAGCTGATCCCATGTGGAATGTTGACCACTCTCACGCTGCTGCTGCTTCATGCTATGCACAAGGCGTACCGCAAAAGGCTCAAACTTAAATCCCAGGGCCGTAAAGCTGAGTCAGACAAGCACGGAGAACATAACCGCACAACAGGCATGTTGTTGGCAGTGGTTGTTCTCTTCACTCTGACGGAATTGCCTCAGGGTATCCTCACTCTAGGAAATATATTTTTCAAGTGCTTCACCCAGCTCGTGTACTACCCGCTCGGTGACCTCATAGACATGATGGCGCTCACCAATAACTCTGTCAACTTCGTACTCTATTGCACCATGAGCACGCAGTTCCGCACAACTTTCGCAGCTATTTTCTGCCCTCAAAGAACGGGAAGACCAAAATGGCTTAAACTGAGATTGGTGAAATCTCGACCTGGAGGTGGGAGTGGAGGAGGAAGCGGAGGAAAGAATTCTTCAATTGAGGTCAACGACAAAGATGGCAAGCACACCCGCGCAAACAATAACGGACGTGCACGTGCCGCCAGCAAGCCGGACCAGCCAGTGGATGAGTCTCTGACTGTGTGTAACGAGCTCAACAACAAAGGACCTGTTCAGATCCACGATCACAGTAACAACGGCAGCGACGGACAGCCGCTCGCTCACAGCGACAAGATTCCGCTCACGCCTGACGGCAGCAACGGAAACACGGCCACGCACACACACGGCTACTCGGCGGAACACGCGCATGTATGACTTCAGACTCATCGTTGATGAACCACACTGAGGACTTTCCTCTGTACCTGGTCCCGTCACAATCGGAAGGATGTTTATTCAAATATTGGCCCGGCCTTTAAAGAACATACTGTCTCCTTAATAAGGACAATGTCATTTCCACACAAAGAAACTAGGAAACTAAAGACATGGACTGCAGAACTTTGACTGAGCTCAGTTGAGAATGATGTCAGATACTGTAGGTGAAACTGAGATAAACCGTTGATAGTTTATTTATCTTATGGCATCTTTTTTATAAGTTCATCTGATACTTACCTCTAGAGAGAGACCTATTTTTTGGATTTTTGGAGACTAGTTGGATAAATTCTCCGGTTCGCCGCAAGTATGATTGTGTATCTTGATCATTTCTCAAGTTAAATTGATCAAATGCATTTAATGATCAGTTTCTCGGCTGAGAACAATCCTTACTTACCTTGTTTTGTGATTGTAAATAATTTACTGTAAATGATTTGCGTCCACATTGAGACAATTTAGGTCATTTAGGAGTGGCGCTGCTTTAACCCTGCTTGCAAGGTCAACCCGGACTGAGCGAGATACAGTATCTTGAGAAAGAGAGATACTCGTTAAAAACTGGTTTCCCCATACGGGAATCAAACTCATGTCTTTTGTCTGCAACGGCTAAAAGCCTAATCATTACACCACGATGAAGACATGATGATTGTGCATCTGTAGTAGAGACCACAGTCAGGTAGTTATTAATTCTGCTGTGTTGTTGAAGTGTTACTATAATATAAGAATAACATAACGCCTCTATAATAAGGCTTCATCTAATGAGCTCATATTCTGTTCGCTAATGCTGACGATATATCGGTGATAAAGTAATAATTTCATGACAATCATGGTAACCATAATATGGTGGGGGTGAATGAAAAGGTTGGACAGAACTGAAAATGATATGTGTTCGCCAGTTTGCAATACGATCCCTTGATAAATATTCCACGACATATCACGAACTTAGTAACGAGATTTTTTAATGATATGAACAGTCTCGTTTTAGATTTATGAACACTGAGTGTTTGACAGCAATGTTAGTGCACAATCAGTGACTTGGTGGAACATATTTTACAGTAAACCCAGATTGTGCCATTGCGTGCATATGATTCAGTGCAAATGTTTTTGTAACAGAAATTTTATTTAAACCGTTGGGCCTTTTTTGGGGATCATAGACCCAAACAAGCTCTCTCCAGTTATCATGGAGCGTGGTTTAGTAACTTCAGGGATGTCCGGTCCTACTCGCCTGTGCACCCATGTCACGAACATCACGACCCCAGCTGTTCTTTCGCTTCCCCTTTTCCTGTTTTCCTTTTCCCTCTGTTCTTCTTGGTTGCAGGTTAAAACTTTGCTTTTAAAGCATTTTATAATTGTAAAATAAATGTTCAAAAGACGCCCATCTGAAACTTTACATGATAAACTGTTTGAGTTATTCTGAAGGTTCTATGAATTCTTTTGTTTCCTGCTCATTAGACTGTGAGAGATAATGCTTTTAATTTCATTGTTTGGTTATACCATCTTTATTGTACCTGAAAAACATTTCTTGGCATTGATAAATTGGGAACGTTCTCCTCGTAGTTTAAATCCTGAAAGATTACTACGCTTAAAAATTGTAAATTCCTGAACGTGAGTCTTTGAGTGCTGGACTTGACTGCATTTTCATTTTCTTCTTTGTATGCAAATCAGACAGTTGACAGTAACGTGCTGCTTGCAGTGTAATACAGATATCACACACATACACATACACACGTGCAAGCAGAAGTACACACGCACACATGCTCTCCCACGCATACACATGCACGTAACAATATATCAGGCATCAGCACGCACGCACAGCGCAAAGAGCGAGGTAGTATTTTAGCTGGATAGAGGTTAATACACAGTTATTGAGATTGTCTCATTTATCGTTTATCCGCCATATCCCTCTGCTGTGCTAACAAACATGCCTAAATTGATTTCGGTATCAATTGAGCAATCACGTCCGATGGGATTTTCTGTGCTTCAGACAATCGATTTCATTACTATTATTTCAGCCCTGAATGGAGCCCTCTGCTCAGAAATAGATGCATGTTTTGTCTATAGGGGTCTGCAGACGTTGTGCTTTTATTGTAATTAGAATGTTCAACTTTATAATAGCGGATGGGTTGGACTTCGTGGGAGTGTAAAAGTTCTGATTCTGTGAAGTGAAGACAACGGGCATGACAATTCCAATGATAATAAAATAGAAGTTATGAATGAAGCTTTAAGTCGAATAGTTCCATACGATGATTTCGACATCAGCATATTTTTATCGTGTCGTGAGCTCAGTGCATAAGGGAAATATTAGAAGTTTAAAGTTGTTTCATTGTCGTGTTTTGTTATATTATATTCTTCCTTGGGACGCATTGCTGGTTTGTATTACGTGGCAAAGACATCCGAATTTATTCCCTTCGATCTGGTAATATTTCTAGAGACATAAAGAGAGCAAACATTAATATCAAAACAAGTCTGCGGGTATTTTCAGCAAAGAAAACAAATATTGTCAATGATTTGAAGAATAAAATGTGGTAAAAGCGGAGCTACGTGATGCTCGTTTTCCCCAAAGCTAACATCATTATAGGATCCAATGATATGTTTTCAGAATTGTGTGAAACATTCTTTGCGTATTGTGCACACAAATTTGAGGATTTCTCGCTTATATGTACCTCTTATTAAAGATGCATAGGGATTTAGAAGTACATGGATTTCATTCAAATTCCAGTGAAAAATATAACCACACTAGTTATTCTCTCGCTATATGAAAGCCTTGCTGAAGGTTGTTTAGGAAGCGATCTCTACTTCTCTCTTGTTTGTTCTGAAACTGTTATGAGTTCGATTTTATATACTTTTTTAAATATACTTTTGTTGTTGTTGGTGGTGGTTTTGAAGAAACGGGGTTAATGAATAAGAATTCTCTAGAACAAAAGAAAAGGAGACTAGAGCGAACAAATCCAACACGTCAGCCATTTTCAAAAAGTTAATTGCGCAATCATCTTGGCCTTATAATATCTCTGTAATTATATCTCGCTCCCGGTTCTAGCAGAACTGTTTGTGGGAAAATGTGGGCGGAATACAGAAGGACGAATTAGAAAAAACAGAATTCGGAAGCTAGCGTGTGTATGGCCTCTTGTGAACGTAAGTGAGAGCGTGTCTGTGAGAGAGTGAAAGAGATCTCATGTTTGTGTGTGCGTGTATGGCGGGGTGGGGGTATGTATATATATATGTGCGTGTGTGTATGTGTTTATGTTCTATATAGGAGCTCACCCGTGTGTGCTCATGTGGTCGTATTATCGAAAGCATGTGCATTGCAGAACCTCTGCATGGTTGAAAAGGGGCACTTTTAAAATGCAAGAAAAGTAATTGATATGAATCCAGGTAATATGTTAAATGACAAGTTGGCAAAAATACGGACAGTTTTTGTGTTGTTGTTTTTTGTTCCAACAAAGCAGCAATCATGCTATTGATATAGATACATTAAGATTACAAACTATGCACCCTTAAGTATAGCCATTGAAGCATGGAGACGCATACATAGGTGAGCTCAATCGAAGTAGGAAAAACAAGAAAAGAGGAAAAGCTAGGCTAAATAGGGTCGACTCAAAACGACTGACGATTTCCATTTGAAATATTTGAAACTGTGAAGCCAAGAAATATGTAATCGTATCACTGTGCATGTTCATAGTGATTAGTAAATACGTCAAGCTATGCTTGCTTTCTTCGGCCTAAGCTGTTTCCTCTCAACGGTCCTCAAGATGTGAACGATGGACCTTTCAAGATGGGTTTAAAAGCCATTTAGGTAGACTTGATATATTAAAGCATGAAAACAAACCCTCTAGGAAAACGACTGAATATATTTTCCTGTTCTATTCTTGATCACTTTGATTATTCCCAGATGTTCCCACGCTAATAATATTCATCTCAAAGAGGATAAAAAAAAGTGTTAGCTTTCCTTGATTAGCATCATATATTTATCAATGGATCTCATTTGTATTAATTTCTTATCCATCACTTATAATTTCCTGTTCCGGCGTACATTTACATATACCTCTAACCCCAGGGTTTATTCCTATTAAGCTATGCGTTTTGCAAAGGTGTAAAAACTAACGCCTTATTCAGTAAGAAGGTATGCTTGTGTCGCGGTCAAGTCTGTGTGTGTGCGTACGTGGGTGCGTGCGTGTGTGTGTGTG